TAACCTTACTTCCTCTAGTTCAGACAAATATAATCACAGACATTCCTTATTTAATGACCAAGTTCTGGTCCTGCAACAAGGTTGTTAGAGGACTTGGTCACTCAGTGCAGAATGGTAAATACTACGTAAAACACAATACTCAGAACAAAGAAATGGTCAAAGAAAACTCCAATTTGATGACTTTGCTTTTATTTGCATAATTCTTACCTGCAGCAATGTGGAACACAACATAAAACTACAGTACTGTACTATACAGAAAAATCAGCGAACACCACAGTATTGCATAAACAAGGTATACTGCACCAAAAAAAAGACACTGCAGCTCCATCAACAAGATCCAGAGAAATGTGAAAAAAAAAAAAAAGTCGTAAGTTCAATCAGCAGGTCCTAAGTCTGGACAGTTGTTACATTGGTAGGTCATTACACAAGGAACATCTGTATTTGACACCCCCATGGAAGCAACATATACATTTGAAGACCATGATGCCCATGAGTGTGTTCTCCAAGTTCAAAGCTCCAACTGCTTACGCCTCGTCTCAGTTACTCTTCTCTCGTGGCTGGGACAAACACTCAACACCCAAAATGAAGGAAGGAGAGGTTTATTCAGCTCACAGTTACTGGAGGTTTCAGTCCATACTCGGCTGGCCCCAAGGCAAAGTGACACATGGCAGAGAGCAGCAGTTCATGGTGGCAGCAAAGAGCAAGAGCCAAGGGAGGAGTAGCAGCAATAAAGGTAACAGAGAGGAAGTCTGTCTCTCTTAAATTGCATTCAGGCTATCCGCCCCAGGCTGGGGGAAGTACTCACACCCATAATCCCAGCAGTACTAAAAAAAAAAAACGCATAATCCCAGTGGATCATGAGTTAATCTCAAACTCTAGAAGTCCCCGCCCCATGACTGTAAGAGGCTTTGGGGGAACGAGACACAAACCATAACAAGCCTCATTGTTCTATACTCCAAATCTTCATTGTCTAAAAAAATGACCCAGTTCAGACTTTTCCAAAAGGCCTGTAGCAGTTGTCCCTCAGTGACCAACTAAAGAATTCTATTACCCAGGCTGTGTCTAGGCAACAAGAGATACCGGAATCATACAGCTCCGCGTTCAAATCCTGGTTCCACCACACATCGACTACCGGATCTTCAGTCTCTTTGCCTCTAATTCATCTACTGATCTAGAAATGGCAAGGGAAAATACTGCCAACTGACTTAAAATGAAGCAGATTAAATGGACAGCAGGCCTAGTATGAGGCTACACGAAGAGGACCCATACCATGGAACTCTGGGTCCCCTTCCTCTCCTGAGGACACAGCATCCATCCGAGCACTCCCAGAGATGACCCCAAGTACTGAATTTATCCTGGCTGGTGACATGCCAGCTCCCAGCTGCCCTTAACTCCAGAGGGCAGGGACTGAAGACTGCTCAGCCTGAGGCAGGAGCTGCTTCAAAGGCAGCAGCCAAGACCAGGTGCAGTTGAAGGGACCTTCCATATCCAGAAACAAGTGGCACACTCTGCCACCTTGTGGTTATCCCACAAATGATGCTGACCAGTCACAAAGCCCTGCTCTGGCCCTCCACCTGCAATCTGCCTTGTGATGGGGAGGGAGACTGTCATACTTCCCAATCTGAAGGTAGCCTCCAAATTCCTACTTCCACCTTGTTCTAAGCCATCCCTGTTATCCTCAAGGCACCTAGTCTCAGGGTACCTCGGCTGACTATACTAGGAGGGTTTTCCCCTTACTAGTCCAAAGGAAGGTTTAAAAGGTCTCTCTCCTACCCCAGCCACTCAGCAGCTAGCTGCAGCATGGGGGTCCACTATGTCAGTGACCAATGGTATGTTGGTACTGCCAAAGCTTCTGAACAAAACCCATTGCTGGTTTTCCTGACCCACTTTGTGTACAGATCCCTTGCTCACTGGACCATGCCCAACCTGACTCATGATACCCGTCAGTCCCCACCTCAGCTGCAGCAACAATTCATCTGAACTACGCGAGCCTGACCGCAGGATCCATGCTGGAAGACTCTTCTAGAAGCAGGGGTAGGCACAGTTTCCTCCCCCACTTCCTATCTCAAGCACTGAAATTCCATGGGAGGCAAAAGGTGACTAAAAGTCTAAAGTGGCTGGCCATAATCCAGGCTCCATGGGCTTCTAAGAAATAACGCTGAGAAGGGAAGGGTTGAGGCTGCCCTGAGCTTTCAAGCAAACAGGCTTTATCGTGCTGTGTGTGCTTGCAGCTTAGCGATCTGTGAGCTCTTAATAATTGGGTTGCTGACCTTTCAACGGCGCTCCTTTTTCCCCTGCTGGGGTAATAGAATGGGTCAGCAGGTCTATTCTGTTTTTAGTGCCCCATAAGCCTGCACAGTGGCTGTGGACATCAGGCCCAGGGTGGGATGGAGTAACACGCCTGAGTAGCTGTGCGTAGTTATGAGACTGACCTGCCACACACCCACTCTGAGACTGGCTGATGGAATCCATTAATGTCCAAATCACCCGTGTCCCTTTCCAAATAGGTCAGAAATGCTTGGTTGCCACAATGCATAACCTAGAAAAGGTGAAAATGGGGGCTATAAAAGCTACAGCTGATACAGATGGATTCAAGAGAACTAGGAGCCCCTGTCAGAAGGAGGCTGTGCATTAGCCATGCACAGCGCTAAGTACTTCCAAATGAATTACCACATTAGCAGAGAAACAACAACATCTTCATTTTACAGATGAAAAAGACAGGTTAAGAACTAGCTGTGCTCATGGATGGTCTAAGTGTGAATTCTGATCCTGTTATTTACTAGCAAGCAATCCTAAGCAAGTTAACTACCTTCTTTAGGTCTGTTTTCTCATTGATAAAATGGGGATAACAAAGCTTGCACCACTGGTTCTAAATAAAAATGTACAATTAGGGGATAACAAAGCTTGCACTGCTGGTTCTAGATAAAAATGTACAATTAGGGAAGGGTCCTCTCACTGTTCTAGGTCCTAAGGAGTCATTCCACTGTGAATAATAATAGTTGCTGTAACTTTTAAGTCACATAAAACATTCAAAAACCATTTTCTGGCTCCAAAGTCTGGTGCCTAGGAAAAGAGAAGCTGACTTGTTTTTTTTGAAACTGGGGTCTGGGGTGTCAGACATAACCTAAAGTGCTAAGTGGACAAGCACGTACTAGGTGCAGAAATGGCCCAGCAGGAAGTTACCCAGTAAGATAACAGAAAAACAAGTTATCAAGTACAGCAGCATTTTATCCACAGTACTAACAGAGGTGGGAACCAGACTCACTGGAATCATTTGAGGAAAGGTCTGACCAAGGGAGTGGCAAGGCTAAGCCTATGTCTCTGAAGGAGGCTCCTGGTGAGCTGGGTAGTGTTCTACATGTCAGATACATACAAGTGTGTGCATGCAACACACTTCAAACTGCAAATCCTAATCTGTGCACTACCACACGCATCATACTCTCTTCCAGAATATCTTATTTTGCTCCTAACCAACTTCCCCCCAACAAAATTTTTGCTCATGTTTGGCAACCAGTGGAAGGTTCAAGATGGCACTCCACAAATGCCATTCTACTACAATGCTAAATATCTTTCAGTCTAAAAATCACACTCCAAAAATAACAGAAGAGATCTGGAGAAGGCCACTTAAAAACCTGTGGAATTTCATAGCCAGAGCCCAAACAGCAGAATTAAACCAGAGGATATCAGTGCAGTGACAGCCTGCTATTTCATGTACTGGTCCTTGGTAGTCACAAAGCCTGAGACGCACCACTGCCTGAGAAGAGATGAGTTCCAAAAGTAATAACCATGTGGCCATGGGCAGGGCCTTCTTTACCAGCTTTTTAAAACAAAGGGTGGGTGGCCAGGATGTATTCCCAGCTTCATCCTTTCCACCCTTACCCCAGCTAACTGAACACAGTGGAAGGGCTACTTACATACTATATCCCACTAAAGAAACAATGTTACAAGCTGGGGCTGTAGCCCAGTGGCAGAGTATCTGCCTAACATGTACAAGCATCTGGGTTTGATCCTCAACACTATATAAAAAAACAAAAAAAGAATGTTAACAAGCTGATCAGTTTATGTGTGGTTATAAAGTCATTCCTGTCCTTCTAGGCTGGAGGAGCCTAAGATCCAAGATCAGACAGTACACATCACACATGACACAGTCCAAATCCCAGAGTGCACCCTGGCCCTACAGCTATGTCCAGGCTTCACCCTGGGTGCTCCACTGCCTTTGATGCACATGCTGTCCTGGGGCTCATCTTCCTCAGTACTGAGGGAAAGAACACCTGCAGGAGGCAAAAGGCAAGGAGATCGATACGGGACAAGGCACCTCACTTTCACCACAGAAAGCAATTTCCCTGACCCTGAGTAAACACACAAGGCTACATCTAAGGCCAAAACCAAGTTCCCATCAAAGGGCCTTCTGCTTGAGCAGAAGGTTGGATGACAGGAAACCAGAAAGTTTGACGGGATCTAGGACTGCAGCCTCCCCATTGGAGCCACAATTCTTGGCAAACGGACATATCTGACTCCCTAAATCTCTTGGCCACATGTAGCAAAATGTTTATTTGTCCCTTCAGGGATGGGGAGCAGTGATGACCCAAGCAACAAACTGAACAGCCGCAAGACCCAACCCACAAGCAAGAGGTCAGCTTTCTCCTCTAATACCACAGGCGATATACAGCATGACTCCAAGCCAAGGCATGGCCTGGCCCTGACTCCTCCTTTCATAGGATGGTAATAAGCCAAATTTGCTTGTTTTACAAGACCACTTCAAAACAGGTACAACATGACTGGTTTATAAACATAAAGCACTTTTCAGAAAGAAAAGTTGTCAGCACTCAGAAGGCTGAGGCAGGAGGATCGCCATGAGTTTGAGGCCAATCTGGGTTACATGATGAGTTCAGGGCCAGTTTGAACTACATAGTGAGACCCTGTCTCCAAAAAAAGAAAGAAAAAGAAGGGAGAGGGAAAAAGGAAACAAAGCATTATTTCCTCATCTAGATTAAAACATCTTCCTATCAAGTAGAAAGGAAAAACAAAATAGAAAATAACCATATAGTGAGGTTTTTCTTGTAAGTCTAGAAGCTTTCCAAAATGCAAGGCTGTAGGTCAATTTATTTCCTTCTGTTCTTTCTTCCTAGGCCCAATAAGTCAATTAATTCACTATAAAGTAATAAAACACTCAATTATTATCAGATTGGAGAAAATGGAAAGGTGCCCTGGGAGATCGCTCTTCGCAGGAAGAAGTCAGTTGTTCCCCCAGGACAAATCAGCTGAGACCAACACAGGGCAGATTCATTTAATTCTTCAAATTCAGTTTCCTGCTCAGCATCCCCTGCATATGTGGGGAAACCACACCAAAGTCCGCGAGGCCCAACCTGTCTGAGGTTCACCCACAGGTCATCAGAGGTCCAGAAGAAATTTCCTAACCTGGGTCAAGTACTTTGGTTTCAAATAGTCACCCAGCTCCTCCTTACTGACCCACACATGATGGCCATTCTTTCCGGCCTGAGAAAAGTCTCCATTTAATAGTAGTGCTTTGAAGAAGAATATTTTGGCCCCGAGGTCTCTCTCTGTCCGCATTGCCTGGGGGAACTTGAACTTGTAGTGGCCACACGGTGCATTTCCTAGGAACTTGGCTTCCATGTTGTTTTCTAAAGGAGGAAAAAAAAAACAATTGGGAGACAAAACACACCGTCCAGTTTATTCCAGCTTCCAATATCACAGAATTCTCTATGAATGCAGGTTCCAGCCCTGAAATAAAAGTAATCCTTAGGACTGAGGACACAGGCCATTCCCAAAAGAGCCACTTGCCCTCTCAATCCAAATGCTTCCTGGTCCATGGCGTCCAGATCCAGTGGGTCCACCCTAGGTGCCAAGTTACCCCCTGAAATCACACTAAAGCCAGCAATGCAGTTCCAGAAACACTTCCTAGGCGTGAGAGCGGCCGGCTTCTGCATACATCCTGCTCTCCACTGCTGGTGACACTTGGTATCTGCACAGCGAAGTTCACCTGCCTGTCAATGGAATGTCACAAGCAAAACAAAGAAAGAGCCACAGATTTGACTTCTCTTGAGTGAAAACATCATAAGCAAAGCTAAAAGCCAGTATCTACAATCTGTGCCTAGGGTTTAAATCCTAGTAGGCAGTTCCAAGGGTGGGGAAAGGGAGGATTCACTGCTAAATGGCATCAGAGGAACTAGCTAATTCGATGGAAAAGGATGGATGCCAACATCAGCAGTATCACCACATCGAAGTGACGCTACAGATGTAAGATTTAACCAAATTTTTAATTTTCATAAATAATATCTTCATCCTGGATGGTGGCTGTATGAGTAACTAATATTTCCTGAATTCTTCTGTATTTTTAAATTTTTCATTTAAAAACACTGGGATATTTTCTGTATTATTACTGAAAAAGTCTTTTTTTTTTCAAAATCAGGAATTGAACTCAGTCCCTTGCGCTTGCCAGGCAAGCGCTTATTCTACTGAGCCATCTCTCCAGCCCATTACTGAGAAAGAAAGGTCATTCTACACAAGACTCAAAATGAAAACATGTACTTGTCTATAAAAAATTGTATTTTCCTATAAGGAAATACAAAGCACAACAAAGTCAAAGACAAAATGATAAACTAGGAAAAGCATTTTCATCACATTTAATGAGAAATATCTTCAAGTACTATATTGAGGAGCATTTAGAAATCAAGGGGAAAAAAAAATCAAATCCAAAGAAAAATGACCCAAACATATAAACAAGAAGTTCACATGTAAATATATCAACAACCTATAAATACATTAAAAGGTACTCAATCTAACCGTAATTATAATTAAATTATTTAATTATAATTTCTGTAATTAAAGAAATAATAACACATGAGTTTGAGATGCAGCTCAGTGGAAGAGAACTTGAGCCTAACATGCTCAAGGCCCTGGGTTCAATTCCCAGCATTACAACAATAATATGCCATTGTAGTTGATCCTTTCTATCTCTTTATCCACAGGTCATGGGTCTGTACTGAAAACACAGTGACATTATTCTCTAAACAAGAAGTATAATAATTACTCACATGACACGTATCAAGTATCATAAGTAACTAGATAAATGAAGGTATACAGGAGGATGTATGTGTGCAGGTTACATGCAAATATTATGCCACTTTATAGATCCACAGATATTCAAGTACAGAGTAGGAGAAAGGCCAGGACTTGATCCTTTGCACATATTGAGAAAAGACTGTAGTAATAATGTTCAAAAACTTTGGTCTTCTGGGTTTGTATGAGAGACTAAGGGGCAAAAATGGTACCTTTGCACATGTTATAGAGATATAAATTAGGGGGATGTTATAACTAATTTGCCAAATCAATTTCAATTGTACACACACTTTCACCTAGCCAAGTCTAGAACTTATCCCCTCCCAAATACACTTATTTGCTCATGTGAGCAAAGATGAACATACAAGACGTTCCCTGCCACTTCATTTATAAAAGCAACAGACTAAGCAAATGACAGTACTTAAACATTATGAAATAGTCTGCTGGTGTTAAAAACATCTAAAATCAGTCTTTACATGTTGATCTGGAAAGACATTAAAATCTATATGAGGAAAAGGCATTTAACTCTGTGTGTATCTGCATCCTCCTACTATATAAAAAAAACAAAAAAATAAATATTTCTATGTTTGTATACGCCGAGAAAATTTCTAAGGATATACATATACCAACAAGAAAACTCTTAGTGGAGGTTGGTTCTGAGAAGACAAAAGCATTTCTTATACTATATTTATAAGATGTTGTTTAGAAAGTTTTCACCATATACATGAACTATTTAATCATTAAACAAATACTAGCATTTGAAGAGACAGTGTAGCCTCACTAACATACAATATAAAATGTGAGCAGTACATATCTGAAAATTATACTGGAGTATTTCTCTATACTTTTCTGGATTTCCCAAACTTAATTCAATAATGCAAATTACTTTGCTAGAAGCTGGAAAAGATGGATTGAAAAATATAAGCAAATCAAAAAGAAAATCAGCTCATTAAAACATGAGGAAAGGATCTAAACAGCAGTTCATGAAAGAAGACATAGTAAACATACAAAAAGATGGTTACTCTCACTAGCAACAGGATGAGCCAATGTGTGCTAATCCCCAAAGGAGAACGTGCTAATCCTCAAAGGAGATCATTTTTACCATCTGTCTAAGCTATTTCACACATTTTGGGGTAGAGGCAACAAGGCAGCCCCCACAGCATTCCTAATATGTCAGCTGTTATATATGCTTTCTGGAGGACAAGTGGGCAGTACTTATCAAAAACTAAGTGTGCCTAGTTTTGGCCTATTAATCCCACCCCTAGAAATTCCATCTTGCACAAATATTGGAAGTATGGAGCCAATGTGAAGAAAGTAACCTATTTATCTTATACATTCATTGAGCTTGTCACTGTCACTTTTATATTATTACTTTAGCAAATTTGTAATAAATGTTTGCAATAAACAAATATTTTATTTTCTATGCATTAAGTATAAGTTAAATTATTGTCACTTACACTTAATTATAAAGGAAACTTTAAGAGGAGGGAAGCATAGCGCCAAGGTGGCGCCTCTTCCATTTTGGACAAAGGAAGTAGAACAGAACAAGAATCTATCCTGGAGGCTTGAGGGAGGCTGAGCACTCAAACACATTATCCTGGCAAGTAATCCAGCTGGCAACTCCTATGTGATAGCTGAGACTGCCACGTTCCACTGTGGCTTTCTGTCTCTCTTGTAGGCCAAAGGGGCCCTGGTTAGAAGGGGCCAAGGGGGCACACACTGATTGCTGACATTTTGTTAGCAGCTTTATGCTGGGGCCAGGGCTAGTCAAGCAGCTAGCTGTACACCTATGCCACAAAATCCATTTACTCAACACTCAGCAAGAACTTACTATGTACCAGATACTTTGCTGAGAATAGAGATCACAAAGAAGAACAGACACTGTCCAGGCTTTCGGCGAACTCAAAATTCTGGCTAGGGAGAGAAGAGTGCAATAAACAATTACTACCGTGTAATAGCATAAGTGAAGGGGCTTTTCTCCATTAGGACCTAAACTGCTAGGAAGTTAGGGTAGCATCCAATTTATCACAGAAAGCAAGTGCCTGGAGAGGATGGCCTGGCAAAGAGTAGATGTTTGTTTCAAAACCTAAATAATGGTACACACAAGTGGGATGGAAGCCCAGGAAAAGGCACTCTCTCTACATGGAGGCTCAGGGAAGATCCCAGCATGAAAACTATAGAGCAGTCTTAAAAACTGGGCAGCACATCAGGAAAAATTAAAACATTCTGCCAAGAACCAGCAGGCCTCAAAGCAAAGTTCTATAAAAGGTCACATTAGTCAAGGAATATAAAAACTTTAAGTCAGAACTTGAAATATACATATTAACAATGCAAGTCAGAAGAAGACTGACGAAATAGGGACAAGGCACAGAGGATGTCTATAAGCTATGCTGGAAATCTGACTTTTTATGAGAAACCTTTAAAAATTCTATACAGAGAGGTAACAAGGGATTTGTGCTTCAGAACATTGATGTTAGCAGCACTGAAGGGTACGACACAAAAGCAGAATGACTTCTTAGCATCTGCTTCAACTGGTCAGCACAGTGGTTCTCCTGGCAATGTCTAGAGACACTTTCGTTATTATTCTGAGGGTGAGGGTTAGGGGGTAGGATGAAGTAGTGCTACTGGCTTCTAGTGGACAGAGGTCAGAAATGCTGTAAATGTCCTAAAGTGCACAGAATAGCCCCTCCACAAAGAATTACCTGGTTTAGAACATCAACAGTACCACAGTTAAGAAACACCAGTCTCATAAGAAGTGAAGAGAGTCAGAGCTAACGCCAAGAGAATAATAACAGGACTATTTGGGACAAACCAAGTAGGACTCAAAGATTTACATATGTTGGAATGAGGTAAAGAAAAACTAATGTTTCTAGTTGAATGAATGCATAAGCCACGGTACTGACAAGCAAAGCGACAAGGATAAGAAGAGAAGCAGGCAGAGAGAACAGTAGAAACATCAGTCCTGAATGTACTAAAATCTCAGGGGGACAAAGATAAGACTCACTCATTTTAAGGAAAAAAATCCTTGTCTGGACTTTTCTAGTGGAAAACATTTACCATCCCATTTGCTATCCTTAAGCTCATTCTCACAGTTAACCTATAAATTCTCCAGCTTGGTCTAAAATTTCCAAAAAAATTGAAACAAGATCTTACTATGTTGCCCAGGCTGGCATTAACCCATGGGCACAACTAGTCCTCCTACGTCAGGCTCTCAAGTCGCTGCCACTGCAGGCAAACATGCACCACTGCACCCAGTTCTGAAGCGAATCCCACAAGATTTAAAGAAAGCAGGGAACTCACCTGAAAGGGTGCTCAGTGCTCGCTCAGCTGTGCCTCGAAGGGTCTCCCCTGGCTGCCACTCTATCTGGGGTAGCAACCAAACATCCTCATCTCCAAATCTCTCTCTGACTAACAGGACAAGTTTTCGGTCTAGCTTCCGATGCAGTGAGGTTCGATCATTTTTTTTATCAGCTTCTGTGAAGAAAAATAAGTCAGAGGAGGCAAAGAAAGTCAATCTATCATAATCAAAAAACTTAAAAGTTTTAGCACATTTAAGGAGAGCTATAACCTTTGTCTCTAAAGAACATATAGCCAAATTACAACCCTGACTCATTTCTCTAACTCTGACCTCTTTCAGGGTACAGGCTCACAATACATTTCCTCTGCAGAGCAAAACAAACTCTGAAAAAGAAACAACACCCATAAAAATTCAAATATGGCTGCTCCGTTAGGTTTGCTATTACTGACCTAAGTGGCCCCACTTTCTCTGTCCTTCACTCATCTATGAAACAGTAACAGAATCCCTTGCTTTAAGAGGGATGTCTGAGGAAACACAAAACTAGAAGAAAAAGGGTTTTTTGCTACTCTGGCCTACACTAGGAATTAAATTCAGATAACATTCACAAAGTTTAACTGAGAAAGGCCACCTCAACACCAAAGTTGACATAGGATTTTTAAAATTGTATTAGGATAGATGGAAACAATAAGAAAAGAATTTATTTTCCTCAGATATGTTTTGTTTTCTGAAGGTGTTACTTAAAACACAAATGTGAGGCAAACCTGTTATACGATCTCCAGGTTTGAACTTTAGGAACGCCTGCTCCCATGAATCTTCTAAATCTTGTATAAGCAATATATCCTGTTCATCCTCCTCCTCATCATAGAGGTCAGCTTTCTTCTTTGTCATTCTCTGGGCTTCATCCAGAGCACGAAGTTCATGGTCTGAATATAGGCTTCTCTCTACCTCAATCTGAAAAAATTAAAAGGATCAAAAACAACAAAATAAAGAAAAAACTGGAACAAGTAAAACGAAGCTATAGCATTATCCGTGAACAGGCTCAGAAGTTTATCACAAAATAATCATGCAATCAAAACAAACACAAAAAAGAAAAAGAAAAAAGGGCTGCCTGCATGAAGCTTGAGTTAACATTTGTCAGTACATCAGAATGCAGCTGGGGATCAAGACTGCTACAAAGAACAGAGGACCACATCCTAGTCCCACCAGGCTTTGATCAGCATCTTATCCCCAGCATCCTACTTTCCTGCCCTTTCCTTTTTCCTAGAATGTTTTTCCTCCTATTCTTTTTCACAAGGGATTTCCACTCATCCTTCTGAACTCAACTGAAACATCAGCTTCTCTAATAGATACTCCTTGAAACCTCCCATAAACTCAAAATTAGGTGTCTCTGTGAAACACATCACACTGTAAGTTCCTTTTCAACACACACCAGAGTCTGCAATATTATGTGATTATTTGGTTACTGGCTGCCCCCACATCCACTTGACAGAAAACCCTGAGTCACAGCTGCAACTGTCTTATTCAGTATTGGATCTCTATCACAACACAATGACACACACACTGCATGTGCTATAAAGTGAACAGCGACACTTTTGCCAAAGTAATAAGCAAGTAAGTAATTTGACCGAAAAACACAGAAGAGTTTATAGCTTTCAATAGTCCAAGACCAAAAAATTTCAAATGTTCGGTAAACGTAAGATCCTTCAATCATTATCTGTGGGAACTTAGCATCCTCACAACCACCATACTCAGTTTTTGCGAGCTCCTAGTAACAGGGATTGATTCTTGTCACCACTGAATCCAAAATGCGTCAAATGAATAAAAAAGGAAAGCGTCAACAAAGAGTTGTCTAGACAACAAGGGAAAGGAAAACACTGTTAAAAGTTTACTATGCGTCAACCCAAGTCAAATTTAGTTAGCTCTACCTTGCAGACGGGTACACTGAGGTTGAGATAAGAAATGTCTTGCTCCGGGTCACACAAACTAATCGGTCCCTAACCCAAGATCGAGCCAAGTCCCAGCGCTACTGTTCCCGCCCGTCACCCTTCAGCCCGCATTTGTCCTACCTGCTGCAGCACAGCAGCCATCTCTTCCTGCAATGGGGTCAGAGACTTGGAGATAAGCGGCGGCCGCTGCAGACATAACGCGCCCCATAAACGCCACGGTGACCTGTTGTTTGAGGGAGAGGTCTCAAGAGAGAGGCTGCGAGAACCCAAGCCACCTGCCCAGAGCCTCTCGAATTGCCGCCAGCCTCTCGTCAAGCCGAACAGAGCGATCCTCACGGGCGCCGCCATCTTTCTGCCTTTCCCAAAATGCCCTGCGGCTCCCAGAGGAACTTTCAGCCAACCCTATACTCCCATAAGTCCACGCGGGGACGTTAGGTGGGGGAAAGTCAGTCCTTGGACCTGCTAGAACAAACCATTCCAATATGCATGGGTGGCTGAAGTTCTCGTGTTAAAACATCTAAAGGAGGGGGAAAATCCCAGAATAACACGCAACGATAACTTTTATGCAGCGCTTAAATTTGGAAAAACACTTAATGCCCCTAATAAGGAGCAACAAAATAAACTCTCTTCTGTATCCTCCCCCGCAAACACTAGTGGAGCTGGCCTCTCTACAATTAGGTCGACGGGAGCTGACTGGGGTCAAATTCAAGTCATGCAGTTTGTAAGAAACGCAAGGTCTTTTATTCTGCAGTCATGGACTCAGCCCCTGACGACCAGGTAAGAATAATTGCCCCTTGGACTCCACCGCCGCTTTGGGGACTCCGCTTCTGTCCGTGTCCCATGTGCTACTTGGGCTTCAGTGATCGTTAAGGCAGGACCTTACGGAGCTTTTCTCCGCAGGGTTGTGGCCGGAGTCCCAACCCGGACCATCCACACGGGCGCCCAGGAGATGCAAGAAGTGGCGGCCAAACCGGAAATTGAGAAGGAACCTCCGAGTCACAGAAAATTCAGGTGAGAGCCGCGGAGATCCAGTCCTCGGGAGACCCACACCAGTGACTCCCGCCCACCACACACCAGAGACAGAACCAATGAATTCCCAACCCTATTGTTTGCCATCCGCAGGACCTCACGCAAATCCATCTCAGAGACTCAGTTTTCTCGTTAAAAATGGGAACATTTCTTAAGGAATTGTTTGTGAAAGTCACATGAGAAGAGCTCTAGCACTTTGGAGCTGCTCGGTCAACCTGTGCTGGGTGAATAAGCGAATGCCAGATGTTTGTATGCATTCTTTCCTCTGAGATGGATTTCATCTCAAACTATCAACTTTCCTTGCCTTGGACACACAATGCAGTGAGAGGGGGTTCGGCGCTGGCGTCTTGCTACCTGCCAGTGTCACTACCTCTTTATGTGGCCATTCATTTAACTTCACATCCACAGACTCAGGGACTGGGGTTCAATCCGCGGTGCACCTTGCCGGCCCCGATCCCAAGGCGCGCTGAAAGCAATTGAGACTGGGCATGGTGGTGCATGCCTGTAATCCCAGTGCTTGGGAGGCTGAAAACAGGAGGGTCACTATGAATCCAATCTGTGTAGTGAAACCCTGTAGACCCTGTACTAAATACATACATACGTACATAAATAATAAAAACAACTTCATATCCATTAAACGTTTAATGAGAACCACCTGGAACCACATGTTCCAGGTATTACGCTAGGTACCAGCAATACAAAATCTCATTCCTCTGCTCATACAGTTCACAGTCTTTTTCCAAAAAAATACAGATATGCACACAATTTCACCATATCCTGATCGGTGGTATGATAGAAGTAAGAATTAGTTGAAAGTAGGAAGGAATAAATGTCTCACTTCTGAGGAAATTAGCCAAGACAGTGAAGATGATGTGAAGCTGAAAAGTAAACTGGAGCTCAACTGGACAAGATGAACAGAATCTTAGCTAAAGATAACAGTCTGCGTAAAAGCATGTGCTTTCAAAGAATATAGTGTGCTTAGGTCTGTGTGATGATAACAGATAAGCTTAGCAAGACAAGAAGAAATCAGAATAATAAAGATATTGTCTGTCCTCCTGGAGCCTTTATACTTTCCTCACTGCTGAAGGAGTGTAAATCAAAATTCTGCAACATTGTCATGATTAGAGGTATAGCTTAGTGATAGCCTACCATGCATAGGAGGGCCCAGGTTTGGTCCCCAGCACTGGGGGGAGGGGGAGAAGCAATTGAATGATGCCAGGTACTGGCATAAACCTGGGCTAGCACAGAAAAGGCCCAATAGAATTTAAATCCTAGTGGGTTGGGAGCAGTACATAGTAAAAAAGTAAAACAGTGGGAGATTGGAATTCGAGCAAGCATGCATGGCCACATTCTGTAGAAGATGGTAGGCCAGCTTCAGGACTTCTAATTGAGATAGGAAGCCACTGAAGAGGAGAGGGTTGCTACAATCTTGCCTGCTTTATGAAGAGTCTGTTTGCTGCTGGGTTGATATTAAACCACTGAGAGAAGTCTTATAAGCAGTTAGAAAACTGGAGAAATAATCCAGGCAAAAAATAATGGTGCTGCCAGGCATGGTGGTGCATGCCTCTAATCCCAGCACTCAGGAAGCTGAGGCAGAAGCATCTCTGAGAGTTCAAGGCCAGCTTGTGCTACATAATGAGTTAAAGGCCAATCTGAATTATGTAGTGAGACCCTGTCTCGAAAGAAATGATAGTGGTTTGGACCAAGCTGATAGCAGTGGAGTTAGTATAAATGGTCAGACTGATAAGTCTTGAAAGTACAGTATAGCCAACAGGATTTGTTAATATAAGATGTGAGAAAAAGAGAAATGAAAGAGGGGGCCTGCCCCTTAGCTCAGTTCTTTAAGTGGCAGCTTCAACAAAGCAGTCAGGCTCGGGTTGCTGTGGTTCGATCCCCACAACTCAAGCCAGCCAAACCTGCCCTGAAGGCATTAGGAGCAAAAGAAAAAAAAAAAAAAAATGAAAGAAGACTCCAAATTTTTGCACCTGAAGAGCTAGAAAGACGGAGTTATTTATTAAGATGGGGGAAGAATAGGATTTTAGTTTCAGGTCATTACTTGAAGGTGCCTAATATCTAAACAGACATACAACACAGAGGAGAGGAGAGATTTGGGTGGTAAGGACAAACCAGCGAGAGGGACAACTGCCAGAGAGGTAGAAAGAAATGCAAAGGAGGTTTTTGGGCTTTTTTTTTTTTTTTGGCAGAACCGGGGATTGAACTCAGGCCCTTGTGCTTGCCAGGGAAGCACTTATTCCACTGAGCCATCTCCCCAGCCCCCACAAAGAAGTTTTTGTAGTGTGGTTAATGGTAGAGAGAGCAGCTGTGTCCAGTACTCCTGACATGATGCACACTGATAAGCTGGTACCGAATTGCTGGTTGGATTTATCAAGGTAGATTTGGTGGGTGATGTTTAGAGCTCTTTTGGTGGACTGGAAGGGGCTGATGACCAATTGGAGTGGGTTCAAGGATAGTTTTTTTTTTAAAAAAAGAAAGAAATGTAATCAGTTTCTTCAGCAGACCTTTGTTGTAAGGGGGAATAGAGAAGTGGGTAGGCAAGGAAACTTTGGGTTCTGGGAGGGGTGTGTGCGTGTGTGCATGTTTGTATGTGTGCAGCAGTATTTTGCTGCTGAGAATGAAACAGTAGAGAGGAGAAAACTACACACTAAAGCATGAGCACCACTAGAGCAGTGTCCTTGAGAGACTAATATGCCAGTGGAGCTTTGGACCGAGGGAGACAGCAGAGGCTGTGGGCACAGATGTTTGGTCGGGGAGCTGGAAGAAACCGATTGCTTCAGCCTTCCTCGAGGTCATCAGCCGGCACTGAAGAAGAAGGAAGGAATTGGAGGCTGGAGGAGACAAAAGAAAGTGCAGGAGAGTCAGCAAGAAGAGCGGGAGGATAATTGAACAAGGAATATTGCCAGGCAATGCTGAGAGCCTGCTCAGTGTAGCAGTCCTTAAAGTAACAGCAGTGGTGCTCAGCCTTGACCAACTTCAGCCCCAGGAGACTTTTAGCAGTGTTTGAAGATATCTTTGGTTGCCACAACTTGGGGGACAATATCTAGTAGAGGACAGAATGCTGCTAAACACCCCATAATTCATAAGACAGCCTCCCACAACAAAGAATTATTTTGGCCAAACTGTCAATAGCAATGAGGTTGAGAAGCCCCAGTCGTGGAGATCAGTTAGCATCGCTGTGTTTTCACAGGCTGAGTGGCTGGAGAGATGGACTTATTTTTTTTTTATATAATTTTATTTATTTATTTGTGGGGGGGGCAGCTCAGCCCACCAGGGGGCGGGCTGGCTGGCCTGTGGTGCTGGGGGATTGAACTGCGGTCCCTGTGCTTTGCTAAGCTTGTTCTAATGGAGAGATGGATTTAACCAGACGGAAGGGCTTGCTAGGGGAGTACAGTGAAGTGAGAGGCAACAGAATCAAGATTGTCTGCGAGGGAGTCATCATCAGGGTTGGCCGTGTAGTTTAGTCCTGGCAGAGAGAAGTGAGGACACGAGGAGCATGTAGGGTGGTGGGCAACTGTTGGAGTCACTGGGTTGCAGGTCCTTGTGGGATTGAAGGGGTCCTGGAGTGAAGATAGTGTAAGAATAGGTGGGTGTGCCAAGGGTAGCCAGGGAGGCTGTTATTCAAAGGTCAGAATGTGGTTGCAAGTTCTGGCAATGACAAAGGTGAAGTGTGACCCCAGGAGTGATGAGCAAATGGGACAGAGGAGATATGTTGAAGGACATAGATTTAGAAACAGAGGCCAAATGGTTGAAAGGATCTTGCTGAAATCCCCCGCAGTTGCAGTGGAAATAGTGCTAAAGAAAGCAGAGCCAGGCAGGAGCCATTGTCTTTGCATTTTCAAGATGTATTTGCATTTTAAAAAATTGTTTCCAGCAGTTATGAGAAAATAGATTGTCTCTCTAATTACCCTGGAGTAAGGATGGGTAGAAGGAGGCAGGTGACAAGTGCCTGAATGCTTTGTCTTGCTTTTGGGGCTTCCTTGGGTGGACCATTTGTTCCTTTGGACTCTGAACCTGGGAGGCTTAAAGGCTGGGGTTGTCCCAGGCTTTCAATTAAACAGATCAAGTTCTGAATCCTTCCTTGCTGTAAAACTTTGCTGCCCGTAAACAGCATGACATTAGATTTCAGGGCCCTTGGCTTTTTGAGCCGCTGTCAATAAGGGAAATAATCCACAGGGAAATGATTATCTTTTAAACATTAAAGTTAGCTGTACAACTCATCCACTTTCCTATCTGCCTGTGGGCAGATAAGCGAGCAGCCTACTAGACTTCACATCATTTGTAAAATCAGACCCCAACAAAGAACACACAGGTAACCTCCGGATACCATTGTGCTGTTGTTTAGCTTTGTCTTTAGCAAAGCAGCTAGTGCTGGGGGGATTGATGCTGCTCAAGTTACAGTGTTTTTGGCTTTGTGGGGTACAAACCTGAGTCTGGCTCGGGTGTGGATACAGCAGAGCAGCGAACTTACTCCCCCAACCCTGCGTTGCTGCGTGACAGTTGTGTGTGCTCACATTTTTCCAAAGCGCAGCATGGTGTGCGAAGCTCTCAACTAAGGCAGATATCACAGATCTCAGCCCAGCTTTCCTCAGCAGCCTTAATCCCCAATTTGTACCTGAGTCTCTTCCACTAAAACTGAAGAGAACTTCTTTACTGCAAGTGACTAAATAGACTAAAACTAATTTCAAAACAGTTTCTAGGCCGATGTTCCCAACACAGTTCACATCTACTTCACCTGGGGTATTTGGGAGACAGATTCCTGGACCCGTCCTAAAGTCTGGGGTGAAGCTTACACACCTGGATGCTCAGGAATGACATCCAGAATACATTCAGAAAAAATACAAACAGAAGTTTGCTAGAACAGTCAGAAATAATGATGACAATAAGAGTCTTGAAATTTTGGGCTCATTCTTACAGAGACGAGATACTGTCTGTGGTTGTTAAAATTTGTCTAGATTTTGAATTGCAGAAAGAAGACGATAAAGGACTGGAAAGTAGTGACGTGATTCTCTACACAAGACGAGGAGAAATGGGGAAAATGAGTTAAATTCTCTTTTCTTGTACCAGAAAGACCCTAGATATGTCTGAAGTCAGTGAGTCATGAAAACACAGTAGCTTCAAGCAGATGCAGTTTACTGGTAGAATGCTAGCCTCGCATGTATGAGGCCCTGGGTTCGATCCCAGGCACCACAGCAGAAAGGAAAGCCCTGTAAGCGCGGTGCTTACCAGAGCCACAGTGGCCCCAGAACGATTGGAAAGGAATGGTGGGGGCAGCGGCACCCTGAGTGGGACAGGGACCCCCAAGCATAACAGGGGCCTGGTGGTGTTTTGTTTTGTTTTTATTCTGGGCTCATTTGTACTATTTTTCTTTTAAAAAAAAAAAAAAAGATAATTTTAAATAAACACTTTCTTCTGATTGCAGCATTTTCCCTCCAGTTCCAGGAGAAGAGAGCTCTCTGCGATGGGCAGGGAAGAAATTTGAAGAGGTCCCAATTGCACATGTTAAAGCAACCTACAACAAGTGAGAAGGAAGGGGAGCCCCTGGGGTTCCCTGGGAGTTTCCTTCTGCTTCATCCCTCCATGGATGAGAAGTCAGGGTGCCAAGTGCCACGTAATGGTGCTGATTCAGGGGTGCTGAGCTCTCCCCTTCTTGTTTGAGGAAGACACCTCTGTCTTGCTAAAGCTTAAATTTCATGAAGATGAAATAAGATGGGTATATTGTATTTATCAGAATTCTTTTCCTTCTTTGGGTACAATATTTCCTGGCCCTGTTCAAGAATAGGAAGAACTGCAGCAGGGGAGACCGTGAAATGCTTACAAAGTACTGGTTGAGCTCTGAGGGGGTGAGGGTGCGGGGCAGGTAGTCAGCAAGGGAAGTAGTAAAGTAACCAGACGTGAACCCCCAAATAAGTACCGATCCCTTTATCTTCTCACTTGGGCCATGGTGCTCTGAGCTCTGCCTCATAGAAGGAAATATGAATGGTGAGTTCAAAGTGACAAGACTTGTGTTGTTGTGTGGTGTGTACATAGGTGCAAAGGGAGTTCCCAGCTGTGCATTGGCTACACAAACAAGTCAGTTTCTTTCTCTCCCAGCCTCCTAAGGGCGTAGGTTAGTGCTTTCACTTCCCTGAACAACGCTTACGTGTATACGCCTCCCTGCTTTCCCCAGCACACATATCCAGGTAGTCTCCTCCACCAGCGTGTCCCTTGCCCGAACTTCCTGCGGCACAGAAGGGTTTCGGAATGCCAAGAAGGGCACGGGCATCGCAGCGCAGACAGCAGGCATAGCCGCAGCGGCGGTAAGTGCGTGCACCTTGTGCTTCCTCCGTGGCACATCCACTTCCTGCATGGTGACCGCTGTAGAGAGCTCTTGTTAAAGTAGCTGTTCAGAAGCAGTGGCACGGTGGCACCCTCACTAATCCTTGTGAGATGTCCTGACACTGCAGGTGGCCTAAGGAGGCCTGTGCAGAACAAAGGCTCCTGCTTTCTCAGATAAAACACCTGGTTTATTTTAGGGGTTGCTGCAGCCCACTCGATATAAGAGCCCTTAGCATGGGGTGGGGATGGGGTGACAGTCTGTTTGGAGAACATGGGATATGGTAAGGGCTCTCCAGTGTGAACTGTTTCAGATCTTTCTAGAAGCAAATCGTCATGTGCTGTTGGTATACTGAGCAACTACTATGCTTTAGACACTTTACATTTCGTTATTGTGCATTCTCAGAGGACCCTCAGTAGCTACTTTTTGAAGAACCAGTTTGTGAATTGGCATGTGCGCAACTTGGTCAGAGTCACGAGCCAGTTCAGCTCCTTACCAGGAGCCCAGCGTGGCCCAGGACCACAGCCTACACTCTGTTCTGTAGCCTAGGCCTTAGAGTGTTCATCCTCTGCCAGGCCACAAAGCTTTCCTGAAGGAAAACCTTGGTCTTCCCACAGAGCTCACCCTCCAGAGATACTGATTGCTATGGATTAATGGACACCAAAAATCAAACAGCTGCAAATGCCAACAGTGGGCAGATGATACACAATTAAAAGAACAATGTCAGTATCTGGTGAGATAGCTCAGCAGACTAAGCGCCTGCTTAGCCAAGCACAGGAACCAGGGTTCGATCCCCAGCACCACATCCTGAGCCAGCCACCAAGCCCAAGTGTGATGGTACACACCTGTTATCCCAGTGCTGGGGAGGCTGAAAACAGGATCACTACTCGCCCAAGCTGCGTAGTAAGACCCTGTAACAACCAAATACATTAAAAAAGAAAGAAAGTCCGTGTTGACAGTGGCTTCTATGTAGTAGGTTACAAGTAACTTCTGTGGGCTGGGCATGGTGATGCACACCTGTAATTCCTGCAGTCAGGAGGCTGAAGCAGGTGGGTTGCCACTCCTTTGAGACCATCCTGGGCTACACTAGTGAGTTCAAGATCCGCACAAACTACATTGTAAGACCCTGTCTCAAAAAAAAGAGTAACTTCTGTGTGTTTTCCCAGTTTCTGTAGGCACTGTCTTTATTATGAAAAGAGGAAAATTAACTGTAAAAATTTGAAACAATAACACTTAAGCTCAGCCTTGAAGTCCAGAGGGAACCTCACAGTCTGCAATTCTGTAGTTAACTACCTGAGAAGAATCTGAGCAGTATTTAGAAATTACCATTAGGTGGCAGTGCTGGGCTGGGCTTAAAGACCACAGCCACTCTAGGTCTGCACTTTGTGGGTTCTGTCTGCCGCCCTGCAGCCATCTCCCCTGGGCTCTCTGTCCTCTGCCTCCCTGTGTGCTTCCGCGGCTGCCCTTTCCCTCTTGCTCCCGAGGCAGGAGCCAGAGATTGGGATCCAGTAGTTGTCTCTAAAGGGCACTAACTGTTTACTACTTCTCTCCAGAAAGCAACAGTGAAAGGCGTTACCCATGTCCGAGTTGTAGTGAAAGGCCTAGGCCCCGGGCGCTGGGTAAGTGGCCATGGTTCTCCAGTCTGTGCATGGAATTGGGGCTCAAGAGCTGGGCACACGAGGGTGGGAAAGCCCCTTTAGTGGGTTTGCCTGGTATCACTTGAAGTTTCTCCCTGCTCTTCCTGCAATCCCCTAAGCCCCCCAAAATGAGCCTGAATCACTTTGTTTAATTCATTGGACCCTCCTTGGGTGTCTGCTGTGTTCCAGGCCCATGATATCTCTCAGTATACTGGGGATACTCCTAGCACCAAAGAGGAGATAGCTCGGGGGGTGGGAGGTGAACAGAGGACTCTGGAGGTGAAGTCTGTCCCGAGCCCAGTAGGAGTGATCTTTAGCTTTGATGCTGAAGGTGCGCCAAGGGGTCTTCATCCTCAGAATGTCAAGCCCAGGGTGGTGCTTGGGATTTGTGTGTTGAGAACTTGGGTTACGGGACTTGGCAGGAGCCCTCCATGAGGAGAGTAAGATCAGGCTGTAGGTATCAAGCCAACGCACCACCTGCTCCCTCCTGCTGCACCTTGGCCCTCCTGGAGCCCTGTTTGATATGGAGACGATAGGTCATCACTTCTGTGACTATGCCCTTCTCCTCTTTCTGCTCCTTCCAGTCTGCCATCAAGGGCCTGACCATGGGCGGCCTGGAAGTGATCTCAGTCACAGACAACACCCCTCATCCACACAACGGCTGCCGCCCCAGGAAGGCCCGGAAGCTGTGATAGGAAGGAAACCTGCCCTGGGACCTGACCCCAGCACTCACCTCCTACCCTCAGAGAGCTCACTGGCAGAGCAACCCCCACAAAAGCGCTCAGTGGAGAGCTGTGTGCACCCACCCCAAAGGTGCTCCTCACTGCAGCTTTGCCCGTGCCTCCCAGCAGAGCTGGATGAGCCACAAGCCACACCATGCCTCTAGATACAGTGGGAGCTATGGGGACAGAAGGGGCCTGGGTTCCAGCCTCTGCTCTGTGGAAATAAAGAACTCTATGACTGTCTGTATAATCATGGTTGTTTCTCTCAGAAGCAGCCATCCCCAGTGGCTCCTGAAAGTTAGTGTACGTTGTGTGCCACCTTGACGGAAGGGTTGCACTGGAAGCATGAGCTACAGGGGCCAGGACCCTTTCTTCGGCTTCACAAACTCATTTTGTCACCTCTCAGCCAAGATCTCTAGGGCTCACCACAGCAACTTTTCACAATAACACAAGATGTAATTTGGCCCCAACAGGAGAGCTTTCGACTTTCCTTCCCTGGACTCTTGAGAGAAAATTCCACATTTGGCAGCCACACTTGAGGTTAGCTGCAGCCATGTGGGAAGGTTGTCCATAGGCCAGGTCTTTCTGGAATGCCAGACTTACCACACTAAAGTGGCCATCAGCTTTTCCACTCCATGAGCCTCTCCTTCCTGTACCCAGGAGGGAGTATCTCTGAGGTGGGTGGTGAGGTTGAGTTGGAGAAACAGACGTTCCCAGGAAGGAAGGTGGCTGACTGGAGGCCTGGCAGCTGTGTATCAAAAATGCAGGGATAAGCACCTGTGAGCAGGTGGAGCCAGGGGTTCCATCCCCAGGCCTGCAGCGCCAGCCCTGCCCCAGGGGCGCACTGAGAGCAATTGAGACTGGGCATGGTGGTACACGCCTGTAATCCCAGTCTTGGGAGGCTGTAAACAGGCAGATCACAATGAGTCTGATCTAGTAGTGAGACCCTGAACACCCTGTAAACCCTTCCCTAAGATACAAAAATAGGAAGAAAAAAAAATGGATGCAAATTGGGATGGACCCTGGATAGTATTGGCTGTGGGTGCGGCCCAGATCACACGTGAGGCCAATGGCTCAGTCAGGGGTATCACCAAGACTGGCCCCACGCCCTTCATCAGTGACTGACTAATCAAGGCAGTTGTTGCTTACTAAGACACTGGGCTGCAGGTCTCTGTCCCGAGCACAGGTGGGAGCTGTGTCCGGCTTTCCCCGGGCAGAGGAGAGGCCAGGCCCTGAGCATCTGCACCAGCAGTGTTGGCGTCTGTGGGGCTCACGTCCTCATTTTCAGGAAGCAGGGCCTCAAGTAGTTCCTACAGGTCCAATTTAACTTCTAAAGCTATTGCATAGGACTGGCTACATAAGAGACACCTGTCTTCTCCTATGCAGGCAAAAACAAAAGACGAAATGCAGAATGCAGTCTCTCTCCTTTCAACATAAACACAGTGCCTTGGTTCCTTTCAACCAAGGCCAAGACCTGGCTCTGAGATGCGTGGTCACCACCCCAGTAAGCCTGCTTGACCATGGAGTCACTAGTTACAGAATCACTTGGCACTCTAAGGAAAACCATTCCCAGTTGCTGCTGCCTGTGACCTAGTTCAGTTTTGTTCATTTGTAAGACTGCATATAGACTCCCCAGCAGGCTCCTTATTCTCTCTCTGTCTCTGTGCCTGT